GTATTCAAATATCTGGATTCCTTATTGTAGTTCAAGACCCCAACCCCAGCTAATACAACCTCAGTTATCTTTTACACTAGCACTTTCTAGAGATACACTTTCTATTTCTGACACATCTGATATTACTTTTCAAACATCTTTTTTAAAAGTATCATCTTGGTACACTAACTGGATCAAATACCGTACACACTCTTTTTATATTTTTAATTTATTCAACTCTAGATAAACTTTGGCCACTCTGGTAGGTTTAGCCTGCAGATAAATATTTAAAATTACCTATTAGGTTTTCTAAATGTTTAAGTTCTTATTCTTAGCACTAGGCTTAAAATTTAAAACCTTTTTCAATTATGTAAAAAGTTTTCATTAAGTTTAATAAAGATAAAAGCAAGGTCTTACCTTAAATATTTAAAAAAAAAAAGGGTAAAGGTCTAAACTAAACAAAACTAAAAAAAAACAACCAAAATAAAAAAAAACAAGAAGAAGATGGCCATGACGACACTATTATTGCCTGTGTTAGGCTATAAAAATTATATAATGTTGTATAGAAAAAAAATCTAATCTAATACTATATGTATTAAAAAGAAGTGAAAAGAAAAAAAATGTCTAATGTTAAGAAATTTTTATATGTGATCTCTCTGATCCCCTATACTGTAAACAGTACTACTATCATTGTTTATTTGGCAAAGCAGAATCCAAATAAGCTCATGGGAGGTTTTATTTTGGTAGACATGTTCTAATTTGGAAGGAGTAAACACTACTAATCTTTTGAAGAGGGTACGCTGATTTTCCCACTTTTGGGCCAAAATTTCTAAAAAAATTCCAAAACTGCAAGAATATGTTTATAGGTATATGGTTGCAGGTACTTCTAAAATTTTTAAAAAGTGTGTTGGGCTACTGAAACTTTGTTGTTTCCTTTGTGTTCTTCTTTAAAGTAATAGTCAACTTACTTCATTGACAAAAATGAGCAAATTCACCACCACATTTTACCAAGATTTTTTATACAAGAGTACCACCTGCCAGTTATCTTGTATAATAACGCTCCTGGCTTGTATGCCGAATGTTTACTATAAAGGAGTCTCTTAGAAAAGCAGTTAACCTCTAGACAAACTACAAAAAGGTCACATCTTTCTAATAAAAGTTTTGTTTTCCATTTACTAAATTTTAAGTATGAGTGATTATCAAAAAGAGTTCCAAAAATTTTTTTTGTTAGTTGGTAAATATTGTACAGTAGTATATAAGTGGAATATATATAATATAATAGGTTTGAGAACTATTCAGTAAGTTTGAAAACCAGGCTGTTGCAGAACAGTTGATAAGAAGGTAAACTCTCATATAGCAGATTGCATAAGTATTTAAATTAGTAACTAGGTGAGCTGATACTATAATATACTTTAGATAGTTGTAATTGTATTCGTAATATTTGTAACCCAAAATATCTTAGTATAAATCTAATAAACAGTATTAGCAAGACTGCTAAATTAAAAAAAAAAAAGTATAGCTATATTATTAGATTAGAGTCTCATAGCCTAGTAGTCTAGGTGCCTAACTTTCTATAGACAAGGTCAATAGTTCAATTATAGCTAATAGTAATTAATTTAATTAATTATTTTTGTAATTTTTGAGAGTTTTTAAATATAAAACCCTGTGGTAGTAAGACTATATAATGTATATATTTGGCTAATAAAGAATTTTTAGAAAGAGCCCCAAGCTATAGAGAAAAGTGAACACTATATATAATATAGATTAGGTGGTATCCATAATTTACATTAAACCAGTATTGTTATAGATAATACTATATAGTATTATCATCAAGGTTCTCTATTTATATACAATACAGTACTGGTTTAACATAAATTATGGATGCTGTTTTATGGAAAGTAATATTGCAAAAGGTTGTATATATGAATCTATAATTGGCAAAATAGTACTAACAACTCTAAGGCAGTATTGGGATTTTGATTGGAAGAATAGCTAAATGTGATATATTTAGAAGTAGTAAGAGAAGTGATAAATATAGTAAAAGGCTGTGGTAAAAGAATAGCTTTACCAAATATAAAACATCTTTAGCACAACAAAACAAAGAAAACTAGCTAAAAACCCCCAAAAAGCATAAAAGCAAGCACTCTAGTAGTATGAAAATAAAGATAGCTAGTGAGTAATATATTATACAATCTATATAAAAGTTAATAATAAAATATAGCAGAAGCATAGATTCTAGATTACTAGCTTGTGATAGTAATTAAATAAGCTACTTAATTTCTGTTCTAAGGATTTAAACTTCTGTAACACTATACTAATAGAAAATATATAAAATAAGTAGTAGCCTAATCCTTCTACTTATAATATGCTAATCTCTGTTACTTTTTTCAATTAGTAACAGAGATTAGTATATCATAAATAACTTCATTAATCAAAAATTTTTAAAGCCCACCTTAGTGGCAAGGTCATGTGACTTTTGCTATTTGTAAAATTGGCAAAATTCAAACTCCACCAAGTAGCAAAAGTTATATAACTTATCCTTATAATAAAGCAGAGCTAGGGGATAAGTAGATCACAGATGCTGAATAATATTTTCCTATAGTAGTAGTGCTGAATAATCTAAAATATTGATGTGATGTTTTAGAAATCAAGAAATATGTATGTTTGTATTTATATGTGTAGTAAATGATATAAAAATTAGATCAAGTTATGTATGTATATAAAAAAAATTATTTCTGTATTTCAGGTATTTTGTTGATGAATAGTATGTATATGCATAGACGATGTTTTTCGACAAATGTTAGCATATACAAAAAACTATGACAAACATACCAGATAAATGGCTTTTGAAAAAGCTATTTTTGATAATTATATTAATTATATTGAATATAATAAATCCACTAACTCTATTTTGATCAGTAGTGAAGGTTTTTGAAAGGTTCATAAATACGTAGAGAGATAGCGAATTAACAGTTACTCTTAAATGTTTTAAAGTTGATATAAGCATCGATAAAAGAACTATTAAAGATTTTATCAATAAAGTATTATTTGTTATATTAGAACTTAATAGCATCTTTTTTTTTTTTTTTTTTTGGTATTAAGGTAACCTATATTGGTCTAGAAAACTTTTTATTAGAATATAGACAGAGTTTTATATGTAATTACAATGATGGTATATCAAGCCACACATGCACCTTTTGAGTGCCTAATTTAAGTAGTTTGCCCAAAGGTTCTACACTATCTGCCGTATCTGCACCCCAACTAGGGGGGTACCTATTTAAACCATCTGGTTCTAACTGCCTCCATCTGCCCCCTAACCCAATGGATTTACCTCACTATTCATATACTGGATTTTGGATATTACCCATGTTAAATTTTGCTCCCTGCTTTAGGACTTACTAACCTATAGACCTAGTCTATCCTCGAGGTAAACCTAACATAGTGATACATGTTCCATATATGTATTTACATGCTTGTTTCTATAACTTCTTCCTAATTAGTACATATTAACCTGCTATTCTGTATTTGTATCTCACACCACCTTTTGGGGTGCTGCTATTCTACAGATGTTTCTTAAGTACCAACCTTCCTAACTAGGCATCCATTACGTACTCCTTGCCCTTGTTTTGGTTTCTAGCAACCCCAGTACCCTGCATTTAGACTGTCTTCTTACCCGGATTTTTTATTGGTCCCTCCCTTACTTCTAGCCGGTAACCCGGAAGGGTCAGTCTGCCCAGGCTTTAGGTGTCTGAAGGACGCCCTCTCCTTGGTCCATACTTTCGGAGTGTATGTCCTTTTTCTCTGGTACGACAACCCGGCGGTTTAGCTAGTATGTCCTCCGCTATTAGAACCTAGTCGCTTGGTTTTCCGATCTCAGGCTCTAGTTCAAATTCAGCTCTCTTGTGGTACCATTGTAGATTGCTACTACCTCCAAACTCAGGACTTGCCAAATGGGTTTCGGTTATTCCGGTTTCTCAGATTTATTATGCCAAAGCTTCCATAACTAGATGGTATGACCGAGATTACAAATTTCTAGATCCAACCGATAATCAACAACTGTAAACCGAAGCACAAGCTATTTTTCAAAATTTGTCATCCATGGAATTTGAACTCTAGATCTGCCACTTGGAGAGGGTGATGACTAGACCACTACACTAAGTCACCACATCTCGAACTTAATAGCATCTTACTAAATATAGAATATTAAACTTATTATATAATTAATTTAAACTATTATAAATCGTTTCTTGCTATCCAAACATTATTTCATTCTATGGAATGATGAAAAGTAAACAAGCAACTTATAATTTTTGAAGTTGTCATATAATAAGATGCTTAACAAGCAATTATATCTAATATACAAATAGCAATAGATATTAATATAGTTTTAGCATATGAGGGGCTCCACAGCAAAAGGTAGTGATAGGAAAATCCTATGATCGTGAGAAAATCGCAATTTAAAATTATCATGTGATCACCGACAAATTTTTTGATTTTTCTTAAAAAAATGACAGTTGCAAAGCTTTTTTTTATACATTTACTTCCTTTCAGTACAGGTTATTTTTCTACACTACTGAAGTATAGAAATACATATTTATTATAATTCTTTTTAATTAAAATCATCTAATTTTAAATTGTCGTGACGTATAAAATTTTGGAGACAAAATCTCAAATTTCATTTTTTTTTTTAAAAAAAAAAAAAAGACCCTAATTTAATTATTACTAAAAACTATATATTAACAATACTAACGGATATTAACCTTGGTTTATTTGGTTTTGTTTTTAATTATTTATTTATATTGCCCTTCCCTTATTTATTATAAAAAAATTTGCGATGTAACTTTTTTTTACCACTCACCAGTTACCAGTTACTAGTTTTATACACAAACCCTACTTTAACAATAAACTAACTCCTATTAAATATTCATATCTTATTTTAATGAAGACAATAGTTATTAGATATATAATTATACTGCTTTTTAGCACCGGCAATAATAAAAATTTTTTGAAATAATTTTAATTTATCTTTCTTCCAATTTTGCTTCCGGTTTTAAACAAGTAATATCACGAAAAGGTAAATCAACATGGGGTGCAATTTCTTTATACAATTCTTCTTGCTGTTTAAAAGTAAGTGGCTTAACGTTAAGTGTAGAGGGTAAATTATTGGCATCAAAAAAAAAAGATCGCATTGTAAAAGTTTTGTAGCTTTCTTCAAGATTATTTTTGTAAGAAACGATCTCTAGGTATTGTGAAGTAAAGTAAAAATGATAATACTTTTGAATATTAGGTAACTTTTTGAATGTTTGAAAATAGGCTTTGAAATTATAATATTGATAACCTTCACCACTCAAATAACACTGAGCAATATTAAGATTAATCGTTGTAGAACGGTTAACAATCGAAATTATATCATCTACAGTATTTACTTTGCTTTTTCTATAGAGAATTTTAATCAAACCAAAACAGCCATCGCAAATGAATTTAGTATGGCCAGGTATCATGAAGTTTAACTCAATTTTATCATATACACCACGATCAATTAACCATGAATAAAAAAACAGAGAATAATTATTCTTGTTTTGACCTATGCAGTTGTCACATGCAACAACTAATTTTTTTTCACTACAGTTGTATTTTTTAATTGCATGCCACACCAAGCTTAGAATACAATTTATGCCTTTTCCTTGTTTACCATCATCAGGAATTTCAGCTTCATCGATTACATAATTGATTTGTTGTATATTAGGAAAATTACCGGTATTACAAACACCAAATAAATGTGCCTTTCGAGGACTTTTAAAGTATAATGACCCTACTTGCTGCAGTGAATAAGGTACTTGTATGCTCTGAGCCTAGTTATATGCAATATGAGCAATGCCCTTAAAAGTTTTTAATGATACTTGAGATTCGACTCCATTTGGATTGTGTTTGCCATCTTCAATTGCAGTGGTAATATTTTTATTATAGTAATCATGTTCTTCTTGTGCATGATTTAAATGAGCCAAATAATCTTTTGTAAGTTCTAATTTTTTTTTATGTTGTGTAGCGTATTGGATATCCATTTTCATCATCTCACAAGTTTCACACAAATCAGACTTCGAAGACATAAATTGAAACGAAGGCATTAAAGCTTTCCAAATATTAGTAAAAGTTGATTTAGAAATAACACGAACATCTCCATACTTATCCTTATAGGTCTGCGTATAATTACGATATACCGATGTATAGTTATAATTTGTGGGAAGAAATACAATTGGCATAGAAATTTCTTTAAAATGTCGTCCAGGTGAGGGCATACCTTGCAAATCAGAATAGTTTTTTAAAAATTTAAATACTTCATACGCTACATCATAATTTACTTCAATACGTTTCATATTCTTTGGAGTTCTACCTGTATTGCTATATACACGTTCCTCAAGACTATTTTCATGTAAATGATATATAATATTTTCTAAATATTTATGACTAGCCCCTACAAGAGCCAAATATATATCATGACAAACTTGAATACTATTATTATAACAATAACGAAAATGACAATACTTTTTATTTTCATTAGAACTTTTTTTTGTATTGTCATCTTTCTGAAAGACCATAAGCTGTCCTTTAATAACCATATCTTGTATATTTTTATCCAAACTCTCAAATTCGACTTGACATGCAAGAAACCACTCATAACCAATTTAATTAAAGCAGGTTTGGCTAGAACAACATGAACATTTTTTTTTTTCAAAAAATTTTTTTACTGTTAATTTCAAATCATCATAAACTTTATCTTTAATATAATTATCAGGAACTTCTATAAATTCAAATTTATTTAATCTATTTAAATTAATATCATCGTCTATGTTAAGAATTTCTTCATTATCATCACTGTTATCTGATATACTGGTAGGATTACTTTCTTCATCGGAATCTGAACATTTAATGAAAAATGTATTTTCTAAATCATTTAAAGCAGTCAAAATAACTTGATTTGTGTCATGATCGTTAGAATATATACTGTACTCCATTCTTATTGTTAAAATTATAAGTAAGGTGTTAAAAGTTATCATTAACTATTAATTTATTTTTTGTTCATATGTACATACATATATCACAGTATCTGTATTAGCACTATCTGTATAATGATGATTATACACCAAATAAATTACACATTTAAACAGGTTTATACAAGAATTTAACATTGTAAAAGCATGACTATTACGCTATATTCTCAAATATAATCTTGGTACTGTACAATATTAGACAGATACAGTATGTATATAGGGATGAGAAATGGTTCAAAAAGACCAGGTCCTGAACCTGTTTATTCAAGGTTCAAAATAAAGTTCTAAAAAACTATTCCCTTGAGATTGTTTTTTAATTTGGGAACCTTGGTTTTTTGTTCTATAATAGTATTAGTGCCATTGTACTAGCATTAATACAGACATGTATGTACATACCTGATAATGCACGTATATGCGTATGTTCAGAACCAATGAAAAGTAAGTTCGAAACTTAAGTTTGGCAACTTCCACATGATATAATTTAAGCTTTAAACTGTTCCCAAACTTGGACTTTTATGAAACAAGTTCGAACAAGTCCAAACAGGACTGAACAGGACTTTTACCATCCCTAATTGATATCAATTTGGTGTAAATCAATGCATAACACTAAGTATATAGGTGCGTATTTGTAGATCATTTTTTTTGAATTTTTTTTTTAATGAACACAGAAATAAAAATTTAAATTTGCATATTTTTTACTAATATATTATAATAAAAAAAATTACCTCTATACAAGTTAAGACTCTTAAGAAGATGATTATCATAAAATCTCAAAATCTGATTGGTTGGCCTATTGCCACCTTTTGCTGTGGAGCCCCCTATATGCTGACAATGCAACTTTATAAGAATACCTAATGGTAAATTTTTTAATATTATATTGGGCAAATAAACTACACATTGCTAAGAAAATAGTACTTGGACTTTATTTTTACATGATGATAATATTATTTATAGAGACTTGGTAAGCACTATATTATATTTAATTACTGTAATAGATTTTATATTTATCAGCTATCATATCTGTTATTAATTTACTAATACAGACTTTGATAATAATTTAGCATTCAAAAAACATCTTAATTTATCAAAGACAACTATAAATTACAATTTTGAGACTATCAAAGCAGCTAAATAAAATGTCTAAGACTTTAAACTCAATTGTTTATAGAATGCCAGCATATATTGATCCTAAATGTTTTATTAATCTAAAATACAACCATAATAAGAAATCTAATGTCTATAGTTTTGATATAATTCTTTGGGAGTTTTCAAGCGGAAAACCTCCATTCCAAAACTTCAAATTTATAATGCCATTCTGCTATTACATAATTCAAGGAAATAGAGAAAAACGATTTTGGGTCAATATCCCGAACATCAAAATCCCAATGGTACTAAATCCTGATATACCAAATCCTGAAAGAACAAAATCCCGAAGGGGTAATATCCCAAAAACTAAATCCTGAAGAAAAAAAATCCTGAAAGTTTATAATCCTGAAAATTTATAATCCTGAAATTATAATTCCGAAATCATAATCCCGAAAGATTATAATTCCGAAAGATCATAATCCCGAAAGATCATAATCCCGAAAAATTATAATCCCGAAAAATCATAACCCAAATTACAGTCCTAAAACTAAAATTTTGTAGTTGCATATTCAAATATTTCGATTAAAAAATAATAATATTGACTAAATCGACTTGAAGAACTTTGAATATAATTTATCGGTCCTGGTTTTAGTGTAACTACATAGGTAGCTACCTTATTTAATATTCTCGTGAACTAAATTAGCATGAAATAAATAATAATTAATAAATATTTTTTAAACTTGATAAAATTAAATTACTTAAATATTTA